CGTGTTGTAGCATTGGATTAATTTCTTTAAATGAATAGGGGGGTGCTGTATCCCACGCATGGTGTGTGGTAAAGCGGGGGACCCCACGAAATGGCACACAGGGATCAGGAACAGCAGTGCTAAATGAAGAGTAAGGGGAGACTGATACCTTAAAGCTTGTTGAGTCCTTTTTATTAGTCAAGAAAACTGGAAAACGAGGTTAGAATAGCAGAATCATTTTATCTATTCATTACTAAAAATATAAAAAAGTGTATCTAATTAAATGCGTAATGTGTGCACCACATTTCTGGTTATTGAACAAAGAATTGATGTTATATTTAAAGAACACCGTGAAAATAATACAGGTAGTACCAATAGACTGAAGCAGAAAATACATGGCGTGGCTGCTAAGAATGAATATGCAGGCTTTGTTGTATGTAAAAGAATCTTAGTAAAAAGCCAATCTATTTTTATCACTTCATACAAAAGGTGAAATTATTTATCCATTTTGGCTTTGAAAGAAGTGTGGTGTGAACGGATCCTTTGCAGTGTCAGATTGTGCCTTATATCTTCTCTTCAATTTCATTAACATGGGATGCAACAACTTTTCCATCTACCACTTCTTCGACAATTGTCTTGATCTTTCTAGTTTTGGTAGGGTCTAAACATCATAAACAAAACAAAATGTTTATGAAAGCGTTAAAAACTGTAAAACAGAGCAGCACGTGTACATGAACAGTTACATCCTTTTCATTTCAAATTGGCTTCTTGTTATGATGAACTGTATGATGTAGTTAAACAGAATAGCATAGATTATTTTATTTATAAGAATGACTTTATAAACAAAATTTTATTCAATCAAGTGCTACCTACCCTGAGAAGAATCCAGTGACTGTGTTTGTGATTTGGACCCTGTCAAGGATGAGCTTTCAAACGCAACTCCCTGTCCTGCGCTCCTAAAAGTGAATCAGAGACACACGATATTGCAGAATGTTTGTCAGGATCAGGAGAAATTGTATTACTTTAAATACTGAGCAGAATGGTTCATTCCATTCTCCTTAGGCAGAGTATATCGGTATTATTTCAGAATTATCGTATGTCCTTTACTATCTTCTGGTGAATGTACCACTTCTTTTTACCTCTTTTTTGCTGAAAAGGATATTGCCACAGAAAATAAAACAAAGGAGATATTTAATGTAAATTAGTTCCTTACACAAACTCGCCATCCAGCAAACGACGATAGGTTTCAATCTCCATTTCCAGACGAGTCTTGATGTCTAGAAGTTGTTGATACTCTGCATTCTGGCGCTCCATATCAGCCCTGACCTGAAACAGCTGAGACTCCAGATTCCCAATCTGAAGTTGCATTTGTGAAAGCTGAGCACAGTAGCCTCCTTCCGTTTCTGCTAAAGTGTCTTCAAGGGATTTTTTCTGTGCAAGAAGGATATTAAATAATCTCTGATTGAGTAAAAAAAAAGTCTTTACAAAGATAAAACCAACTGAAGTAGTTTAATGGGAGTAAGCATAGCCTCATTACTTAGAGATTTTTGGGGTTTTTTTGTGAATACCAGTTTGAAAACTGGCCTTTGCTGCTTCAGAGAATGGGAACATAAAAGTTCATCTGCTTTCTAACATGCTACTTGCAATCTAATTATGTATATTACTGCTGTTTCGGAACTAAAAGAGGGCAGGATTTAGTAGGAGATAAATGCAAATCTTAAATCCTGTAGAATAGTATAAGGTCTAACAAC